CAAAAACTATATAGCTAGATTACAAGATACCAAGAATATAAAACCTGATCGTAGACCTCGCAACAGATCTAAAAATATCCCTAAATCATTATTTATTCTGATTGATTTACTAATATTATTAAATGAAATAATCACAAACTTGATAGAGATATGCTTACTAGTACTAAAACAAACAAAGACTGGAATACTATACTTTAATAAAAATGAATATAGAAATATTCAATAAGTGATTGATAATTCACTAAAACTAATAGAAAAAAACAATAAGAAATAGAGGTTATTTTACTTAAGGTTATTTCAACTTCTGATTCTATATTACTGAATTCGATTACATTATTTTATGAAACTTTACTATCTATAGTATCTGTATTTGTATTTACTTCAATATTATCAAATTCGAGGTACAATTTCAGAAAAAGAAAGAGAGATAACAATAACGATATGGAAGGATATATTTCCAAGATTATCTAGTCTTTGTTTATCTTCTTAAATAAGTTAGTATCAGAATTAATCGAGTATACTATAATTACAATTCCAAATATTCATTAATTCGAGATAAAAACGAATAATGGAATTGCTTTCAAGATTTTGATTCTTTTGGAGAATACACCAACAAAGATTGAAATCGCTTTGCTAGTAATAGAAATACTAGGGATCAAGATATCAAATATATATAAAGATATAATAATAAACAAGAGGTATGCAAAAAACTGGTAAATTACAATTCAAGAAGAAGTAGACTTATTAGTCAAGAATGGTATTTGGGAAGAATTTATTTTATTATAAGGAAAGTAATCTAGTTTTAATAAAATGGGTATTTATTGTTAAAACAAAAGATAATAAGGTAAAGCAATTCAAAACTAGATTGGTGGCTAAAAGATTCAGTTAAGTTTTAGGTAAAGATTATAATAAAACCTTTATTTCTACAGTTTGACTTAATACTTTTTACCTTTTCCTTACAATTGTTGTAAAAAAAGATCTTGAATATTCTTATTTTGATATCAAAAATACATTTACCGAATTATATTTAAAAGAAGAAATCTATTTAGTGCTTTTTTAAGGTATCCAAATTCATTATAATTATATTCTATATATACTTCGAAGTCTTTATAGACTAAAGTAAGCTAGTAGAGATTGGAATCTTTTTTTAAAGGAAGAGTTAATCAAGATAGATTTCGTACAAAGCCTTTCAGATCTATATTTATATACTAATCATTCACAACAGTTATTTCTCCTAATTTATATAAATGATATTATTATTGCTACTGCAAAAAAACGAGATATTAAATGGTTTTATTATAACCTTTCAGCTCGATTCAATATTAAAGATCTGGAGGAGATTAATAAGATTTTAGGAGTGTATATTATTTATAATAGATTTAAGAAAATATTAATTATAGATTAAAAAGAATATCTAAATACAATACTTACCCATTTCAGAATCTTCTATAGTTAATATACTTTAAGAAAAATATTAATCTCGAATTACAATTAATTATGATCAATACTCCCAGATAATAAGCTTATTAATATAAACGAATATTAATAAGCAATCAGCAGTACAATCTATTCTATAATTTATATTAAATCGGATATTACATTTAGTCTCAGGAGATTAGTATAAGCTATATCGAATCCTACCAAACATTACAATATTGTATTCAAAAATTTTATAAGATATTTGAAATCGATTATCAAACAGAAACTATATTTTGAGTTTGGAAAAGTTTAATTAGATATTTGTAAAGAATATAATCTCCCACAATGGATTATCAAAGTATATATCAATACAGACTGAACAAGTAATAGAATCAATTGAAAAAGTATCTCTAATGGAATAGTAATATTTTATAATAAATCAATCTTATAAACAAACAAAAAGCAAACATCTATAGCTATATTTAGTACAGAAGCTGAGTACATTTCTATAACAATATTCATTAAACAAGGGTAATGGATAGCTTAACTCTTGAGAGACTTAAAGTGACTACAGTATATCGAGAGCAATAACGAAATTTAAATGCTTGAAGATAATCAAGGAGCATTAGTATTAATCAAGAACCCATATTTATACAAATGATTAAAGTATATTAACATATATTATCACTTTATTCGGGATCTTACAGAAAAACGCCTAGTCAATATTAATTATATCAATATAAGTGATATAGCTGTAAATGGATTAACAAAACCATATGCAAAAGTGATATTTGAGAGATTCAAGAATATGCTAGGGCTTCAAACTAATTACAAAAGCTAAGAGATTATACTCTCTAAGGAAGTATTGGAAGTTGTGGCATGTGCGCTACGCTACTGTACATATATCACTTCTACTTCATAATTAGATTTTATCTTAATACAACTAATCTACATAGTCAATATTACATGCATTCCACTGGCCTGCTCCTTCATTGTGAACATTCTTTATATATAAACAATATCTTTAAAGAATATCCTAGGTTTATATAGTTTTATAATGAAATTCCAGTATATTCCATGCTTATAAATAAGATCGATTTAAATCGAATCTTATAGAATCATTTTATATAATAAAAAGAAAGTATAATTAATCAATTTAGCAATGATTTTCCATATATTTCTATTTGATTCCATTCTATTCTATTCCATTATAAATCAATTTGATAAGAGATTCTATTATATAATTATATGATAATATAATTTTATAATATTAAATCATATTATATATATATTAGTCATCAAGATATCTCTTAATTAGTAAGGTATTAGTAAGTGATTTAATATACTTATTATAAATCTTCACAAGTTTCTGATCAGTGCAATTTTTACCGACAGCTATTTCTTGAGTGAGTCATTTCGACGGTAGACCAATCATCAAATGGCATCGACCATTTCAGAATCGTGCCGCTGTGTCCTCACTCCAATTATTACCTCCTTCAAAGTCACATCTTGTTATAATATGCCCTGAGCAGTGTGTACAATACGGTGATAAATTTCAGCTCCAATCGAGGGGAGATCCACATGACAAGATGACAGGTAGCCCTGGTTCCTGCGCGATATAAAGTTTATTACATACCCACTATCAATTATCCACTCAAACCCCTCATTTCCAATCGAGACCTCCCCTCCTTTAATCCTACTCCTCTTACCCCTCCCTATCATGGCCCGTAAAGTAAGTTTTGCCTTTTTGGTGTTACATCCACTCCATCTTGTAGATTAATTGCACAACGGTACCCATGTGCCGGGTAATGAATCTGATAAGCAATCCGCAGATGATCTATCGGTAATCCTCAAATCAAAACATTTAACCTGCAGGCAATTTGCAAATCATCTGCATCTAAGCCATGTACTCACAGGTATGTGATTAGACTGCAAATGATATGCAATGCTCACAATGAAAGGAGCAGGCCAGTAAAAGGCATCTACTTTTGAGTACGTCGATCAATTATTCTGAACTAGAATTCAACTACGAATCGGAAGTGGTATAAACTTTTAACGCCAGTGCTCGTGCTTTTAAACTCCCAAGATGTAAGTTATTTACTTTTACTTAAATTTGAAGATATTCCCAAGTCATTTTGCACTAAATATGTAAGCCAAGCTTAGGTTTACATTGAATTTATACTAGCCCTAAAATTATACTTGAATTATGTTAGTTTACATTATAATGATACCAATGCAAGTATAATTTCTATAACAGACAAATAATTCTGGAATCCTAATGAGTAATCGCGAAGCTGATACAATCTCTAACCACAAAGTGAATTATCTGAGAATTACCTGGTGTACCCATAATTACAGAAAGCTTATGTACAGCCTAGTTGATAATCGATCTCACGCACTTCACTTCAAAAAGAACCCCAGTTGGTACATCTGAAAGGCTTTCCGCCTCCAAGTTTCTGGTTTAGAATTATGGCCCATTAAGCTGCATCTCGTTCAGCTGCATCTCGTTCTCGGCATAACTAAAGTTTTGCCTGAAAGTATTCGGAATCTGGAATGACACTTTTGAGATCGAGACGAGGAAGACAAAACTTCAGTATGTCGTGATGTAACTCTAGAATAATACCGCCTGTAGAATGTAAACAAAGCAGGTAAAATGTATATTGTACAGTACCCATGCAACACATTTCCGGGTCATGAGCAGGAAGGATTCGTTAAGTAAGAATTTTCATTTGAAGGAGTTTTCTGCATAGGTTTCAGGACATGTCACAAACTGCTGAAAGATAGTGAGATTTCCAGTGGCCATACATTCACCAAAAATGAACCCAAGTTTGTAGCTGGCTACGCTTCGGCTGATCGTTTTGAGTGTGATGAGACTGCAGCAAACTCGAGTCATTTCAGCTACTTAGAGTTCAAAATTAAGGGGAGAAGAGGAGAGAGAGAATATAATGTGGAAGATCCTTATATAGACTAGAACTATCTTAAAGGTAATTTCTACGTTCAATTCATCGCGTTGTCAAACAATTCATGGGTATCTTATTCTCAGTTCATCAGGGTTTGAAACTCGCTTTCTATATATAAACCACGAGAATAGACAGCACGGGTATACTAAACGTCAAGCTAAGAGCTTAGATAGAATTCAAAAGATCAATTTGAACAAGCATGAAAAGGTACTTTGACCTGTGGCTCTTTGCTGTGATCAACTGTCTTCTTTCGCACCAATTTAGTGCATGACACATGTGTAGACGCTACTTCGAAGTCATGTGATAAGGTTATCATTGCTATGAGGTCTATCGTCAACACTAGAATTAACGAAGTGAGGTGAAAAAAAGTGGAATCTGATAATCATTACCTCTCTTACCATATTTGGCTAAATGCGTTGGTCGGCGTACCCTATCATATCTCCGTACTGAAAACCTGACGTGTTACACTCGACATCACGCCAAATGCCACATCACCTCACGCTAAGAACCATCTCGTCAGTCTTATAAAATCTAGACACTCATGTAACCTTAAAGGTAGACGAGAAGTACAGCCCTAGAACCTCACAGCCACAATGGATCTCGAAATGACGAAGAAGCAGAATGATGCCATCAGAAGCATCTCTAGCAGAACTCACTCTTACAGTCGAGAAGCACATTTCCGCCTGTGAAGAGAATGCGGTACACGGCAGTACCTTGAATGCTGAAACTGTGACGAAGACTCATGTAGAACTGATGAATGCTGCAAGGAAGATGAAAAGTGATGTTTATGGACCAGTCAACAATATTGCTTCGCATTACGAAGAGGTACGTAGTATTTACGTGTATTGAGTAATGAGTTAACCTGATTCAAATGCAACAGTTCATACACTCAGGATGTTTGAGGGCATTGCTGGAAGCAGGTGTTTTCGACAAGTTGCCATTGGATGGAAAAGGAATGCCTGCTTCGGAATTGGCTGAAAAAACTAATATGGAAGAGGCACTGTTAAGTATGGCTGAACAGAGTAATATTACACAATGAGTGAGTTGAACTAACGTTTGCATGCTACAGTTCGAATGATGCGAGCCGTTACTCCTATCTATTTTGAGGAGAATAGTCCGCGGGTGTACAATCAAACGGCAAATCTCTAATCTTTCAGCTCGAGGATATGAGGGCATCATACAAACAAATGTTTGTCTCCTCCAAAAGCCAACTCCATTGCACGATATGTGATTCTGACAGTGTAAAGTTATGACGAATACGCGCCTTGTAGTTATGCCCTAACTCCATACTTCAGAGAGAATGGATTCAAAGTACCAGACTCGATCAAAAACAATCCATATACATTCGCTCATCGAACTAATGGTCTCAACATGTGGGATTACCTCTCTCTTCATCCTGAAAGACTAAGAATATTCAATTTGGGCATGAATCGAATTTCTTCGCAAATGGTTCAATCCTATGGTATCTTTCCATGGCTCTCCGAATATCGAAAGATGCAAATAAATGACGATTCAGTGCTACTGGTAGATATTGGAGGTGGTCAAGGTCAAGCAATCACCGCTATCAAGGATATCATTGAAGGTACTAAAGGTCGATTAATTCTCCAAGACAGAGAAGAAGTCATGTTGGAGAACCCTGATCCCATTCCTGGAATCGAAAAGATGACTTATGACTTCTTCACACCACAACCAGTCAAAGGTGCACTAATCTACCACATCCGTCGCTGCTTTCACGACTGGCCAGACGCAGATTGTGTTACTATTCTTTCCAATATCGCTAAGGCCATGAATTCCACCTCTCGGCTTCTTATTGCTGAAATGGTCTTGCAGGACGAGCTAGATGCTGAAGCGACTTGGATGGATGTCACGATGATGTTTTTCGCAGGAAAAGAAAGATCAGAAAATCAATGGAGACAATTGATTGAAGCTGCGGGATTGAGATTGGAGAGGATATATGGTTCCGAGGGAACAACTTTTAGTGTATTGGAAGCGTGGTTGAAGTAGGGTTGTAGAGTAGATCCTATGGCGAGGATGACGGGATAGTTATGACGAATATGACTTCACATCAACTGCCAGTGAGTTTGGAAGGGGAGGCATGAGATTTTGATGAAAAACCTTCCGTGCAGAGACTTGCTTCCTGAATTTCATTATTGGTATTCATACAGAATGTGTGCTGATTGCCTTTACACAGAGACACTTGTTCCCTGGTTAAATCTGCTCAACTAGACGCGAGGTGGGATAAGATTTTGAAAAAGCTTATTTGTATGCAGGACAGTAATGTCAGACTCTAGCGCTTGGTAGGCATTCTACGCGTAACATTTATCGCGTCTTATCTCTCTTCCCAGCTGCTAGACCAGATTTGTTTGATCCTTCGCCTCTGTGGGACCGCTATTTTGGGTACTATGATGAAGTGTCCTGCATACTTTCATTGCAAAATAAATGCAGCCGGGTCATCCTACTCCAGCTAGTAACCATCTGTCCTCCAAGATCTTTTGCTAATTTGGGGCAATTTTTAATCTGGGACCTGGTATCCATTGGATGGCTGAATTAGACGAGTGATCACAGGTGAAAACAACTCGATAGTCATGTCTAATGTATATCGATAGCTTCGTGAGCCACCTAAGATGGTATCGTCAGCAAGCATAGGTTGCACGAGATATTGATAATACCAGTATCTTGGAAAACTTCAAGAAAGTTATATTACACCAACAGACACCCTGTATTCGGATCTTACATGCATACCATTTTGAACCAATAGTTGTATCTTACAACCAGAACTCGAAGAGTGGGATCTACATGATCAAACAGGGCTGAGTATGTATCTAATAATCAGCTCCTCCAGCGACCAGCGACCACCACTCACTAAAAGCGCCAACTTGCAGGGACGTTTGCTTTTCAGGTAAACTTACTAATTTCCCTAAGTATGAACTAGTCGGCGCTTAAAGAGCCGACTATGGTCATAGAATAAACTTTGCAGGCTCTTGGCTTCTACTACAATGATTGGGTGGAACTGTGTGGCTGGTGGTTTTGGCCTGGAAATGCCACACACGAGCCACAAATTTGTCCTTAAATCTCAGGCACAATAAGCCTAACGTTCATCCGACCGAGAAACGCGCGAAAACCAAGAGCCTGAATCTGAGAGTCCTGCAAAGTTTATTATGCGAAGTACCGGGACATCAATTGTTTAACCCTAGCCACCCCCACAAATGGCACAATCTCACCAATCATCATTCATCGCACTGCTTTCTCCTTTGAGAATAGTGCATAGTACGTAAGCTTCGACTTCGATATCCTTATAAGCTTCATGTTTGGGAGCGGAGAGTCGGTGTTGACCCTTATCGTGACCCGTCGTGCTGGCTACCTTTTGAAGCAACATATCGTATATCTTAGATTTGTGGATAGATTTAAGGTTACGGCTTGTCGCTGACATGGCTGTGCCTCCCTCTTGAGACTTCGTACTTTTCTTATTTCTCATTATGGAAGATCATCTGGGTTCGGCACCGTAGCGAGAGGGTGGGAGGTCGAGAAATTCAGATGTATATAAAGACTTCCTCCCAATTTATGGGATATGGATATTCCCCATAATCTTTCAAGCTCAACCGTTCTAGCTGTTCTTTGGTTTATACCTCTCGTTTCTCAGTGTGTATGTAGTATTGCACGTTGAAGACTTCATTCTTTGAACAACATTTCTTTCCCTTCTAGCGCTTATCATGCAATACCTTCCTATACAAGCTCGGAATGTCCATTTTCTGGTCTCAAGCAAGAGAAGTTCAGATTCTTCCAAGAATCACACTTGTCCCGTGGAAAACATAAATGATCCTCGTAAGACTTCATTCCCCGCAGCAATCTTTTAGTTCACGGACTAAGACGAACCCATAGCTCAAGTTCCATTGATCAATAATCTCAGTTTCCATCAATTTATTCAAATTTTATCAGGAGCATGTCTAGCCTTCTCGCTTCTCCTATCAATCTTTCTGATATTTCGCCATGCAACACATTATTCTATGCCCCGAGAACAGAAACAGTATACCTTACCCCTCTGTTCTATTCTATCGACGAGAGTATTCTAACACACCCACCAGAATCATCCGCATAATCTTCATGATTCCAGTATTTGCAACCATTTCGTTCCTCTGCATACATTTCGAAGAAGCCGCAGCTTATATTTCCCCAATCAATGAACTCTACGAGGCCTTTGCATTTGCCGCATTCTTCCAGCTCTTGTATGCCTACGCACTTGAAGAAACTCATGCACAATCTTTCTCTGGACAAGCATCACAACTTCCCCCAATTCGCAAAACTGCCATCCAGATCTTCCAATTCCCAGCTATCATGTTCATCGTATTCCTCATAGAAGAGATCTCAGAGGCAAAGGGAACATATTGTGAGACGGAGATTAAGATTTACTTCACTAGGATTTGGGTACGTTCTCCTTTATTCATCCTAAAAGTTTCCAGAAGATCAAACTACATCATCGAGATCATTAACTCACTAAAAGTCAGTGTGTAATCCTTCGCATAGGCGGTACCATCATTGCCATCCTGGCACTTCTCCGCTTCTACAAATCCACAAAGTCCCTAATAGCGGCTCGCAAACCCCTCCACAAACTCATGGCATTCAAAGGAATTGTGTTTTTGAACTTTCTGCAGTCCATCGTCTTTGCATTCCTCTCGTCGCGTCTTTCGCCGACCAATAAACTTACCACTCGGGATTTAACGGATGGAATTCCCAATCTACTGATTTCATTAGAGATGGTTATCTGCTCGATCTTATTTCTGAAGTTCTATGCCGTGGGCGAGTACGCCAAGGGAAGAGAGACTTTCCAGGGAGGTTTCATGGGAATTAAAGCAATTGCCGGAGCAGCGAATTTTATTCCTTTCATAGGGGAGATGGTAAGGATGGCGATGGGAAAAGAAAACACAGAAAAGGGGGGAAATATATGTAAGAATACTTACTCCTCTTATAAGGCCTCATCTGTTTGAGAAAGCTTTAATTCACATAAAAATATGTTGTTTCTTGTGGGAACTGAAAACTAATCTTTAGTGTGATAGTATGAAACTGTGGGACTGACTGCTGGGACGGAATATCATCATAGTGTATGAACACAGATTGGAAATTAAAGCGATTGGAATACTGTGGGATGATGGGATGGAATATTTCATTCAAAGTCTAGCGCAAAGATTCGCGAATCGGTTCTAGTAACAATGCATCTTATCTGTTTGGGGGAGTTCAAGGTTAATGATGTGTCCTTGGAAAAGATATTTATTTTGCACAAACACGAGTGTTGGGTTCATCGATCGTAGTCTCGTTGTTTTCCTGTTGATATATCCATATCGATTTCTGATCAAGGCTCATTTTCTAAGTAGAAGGTATGAATGAGCTCATGTTGAGCCACTGAAGATGTATATGGGCCAAAATGATACACCGAGACCAGCATCCCGGGTCTGAAGAGGCGAGATATCTTTGCTGCCTGCTATCTAAAGCTAGCCCGTGGTAAAGATGTTTGTAAAGTGCTTTGATATTGGAGAAGACATTTCGAGTCCAAATCAAGACTGTCCAAAAGGGGCTATGGAATTGGAAGGTAATTTCCAATCCATAGATGGGGCTGTCGCCGCCGAGTCTTGTTGCCAGTATCCAGCAAGGCGGTCTATATCACTCAGTAGTGGAGTTGATACAGATCAATATAGATCAAGTATTAATCATTTTCTTAACATGTATTTATACGTAGGTCATATTTGTCGGAGACTTCTAGCGTGCTGCAAGATATAACGAACCTAGGAAGAATTTAGGTGACTAGGAAATATAAACAGTTCCCAAAATTAGTGAGTTGAATCTCCATTATTTGTTGCGACCAATTGAGAAAGTCATTTCAGCTCATGTAAGCTCCATTAACTGTCCATGTGTCCAATCCTCATAGTTTGGTCCGGCCCCTTTCTTGATATCTTCAAGCTCCCAAGCTAAGAGATCCTTTCTTTTCGTTAGAATATGTGACAATGGAGCAGCTTGTTTAATTCCCATGATGTCGGATATGACTCTTAATCTCCCTGCTACCCAGTGACACATCATATCGGATACAAGAGGCGTACAGGCTGCCGTATACAAAGGCCATAGTAAAAGATTACCGCTAACGGCTTTAGCACTATTTAATGTCACTTCTCCGCCATCCGTATATCCAAGCATAAAAGGAACGCTAGCACATATATCATGTGATAGTTGAATGACGGCTGTGGTCGAGATCTCTAATTGAGAATCAGAGAAGATAGGATTCCTCAGGTCGAGATCGAATAACTCAGGCTGAATATTTCTAAGGTGAGTGAGCTGAACATAGACAACTTCATTGACGAGAATCCGAACACATCGATAGTGGTTCCAGAGTGCGGCCGCCCAGATACTATCGTAGATATGATAGTGATCCGAAAAAACGCCATCAGACCTTTGTCTTAAGGTGAGTGTTCTATAAAACATACACTCCGGCGGGCAAGTGAAAGCCCACTCTACAAGCTTGGAATCAATCACCAGGGCGGCTTTGATGATTTTTTCTGCGTTTCTGTAATCATGAAAAGAAGACATTGTAGCACGGAGATCGCCAAATTCCATCACTTGTTCCGACAGATTTGTGGCGTGGGCATCATTTGGCGACTGAAACTGCAAAGCATACTTTGACCAATCCCGAATGAAAGGCGGAATAGAAACATGGCGTTGTATGCAGTTCGTGATCTAAACAGAGTATTAGACATAATTGCCACATTGAAAAGAGGCAGTAAACATACTACTTGAGTCCTAAGATGAGCAAATATGTGCCGGCCTATTGGAGTTTCAAGACATTGCTTTCCTTTAAGCTGCATCAACGATGAGGCACCAATTACATGTTTGGTCCAAGATTGCATTGATTGGGAACCAGCGCATGTGTTTATCTATTAGCCAGTTTAGCCGGTGAACCTTTATAGCTGTTCATTGGAATTACTTCATAAAGCCCCAAAAGTATTACTGCCACGAGGGTTTGATCGGCTCGTGCTTCATCTTCATTTCTCAGCCGCGAGCTGACAAGTCTTAGAGCAGAGTTATACTTTTTGTTTGCGTGAAACTGAAATTCGGAAGCTTTCCAGAAGTTTGCTAAACCGACCATGCCAAGACATTCAATACTATCAGTCAAAGCAGGGCCAATGAGTTCATTGTCATATATTTCGTGGAGATACTGAAAGCTACCACTTGTCGAATTATCTTCGAGAACATAGTTTCGAAAGAAATAACACGTCGCCTGCTCAGCCGAAGAAGTCGAAAGACCTGGTGCCAGTGGTATTATCTGCGTGGCAATTTGCGTCTTGGAATGGCACGACAATTGAGGATCTATAGGGGTCTCTGGCGCATCAGTTGATTTTTTGCTTCTCTTTTTAGATACTACTAGTCGAGTGTCATTTTCAGTTCGTCGTTTGTTAGCGTAGTGTTGCGTTTGATCGCGAAACACCATGTCTGCTTCGGTTCTGTACCCTGTGCAATTGCGGCCAGCGCGAACACATTGTGAACAAGATGGCGTCAGAGTGTCACACTGGATGGGTCAGTAGCTAGATTGATCCTATGGGAAGCTACTCACTCACCTTAGTCCTCCGAAGCCTACACTCTGCGCAAGCTTTGCTTGGCTTACCACAATAAACCATTTCGTGACTTGATTAAGGTAGTTGGTAGTATTTGGGGTTCTTAGAGCATCTAAGCACTCTCTTATAGAGCAATTGGGCAGATGATGAGTAGTCTGCTAACCCGTGTTTCGTAAGGATGTTAAGAAAAACGATGATTACACCAAAGCATGAGAACGAATCAATTGAAATTGTTACCTGTAGGTACGTACATACACTGTCATATCGCTTGTGTGAAGCATGCATTCATGATCACATAGTTTACTAAGCCACATTGTAAGAATTTTGTACATGGCCATATATGTGTGAGAGATCGGCAATGCAGGATTGCTTGTTCGTAAGACGGATAAGGCTCTGTCATCATACGCTTTTCTCTTTCGGGTATTCTCTGCGTAGCGCATTGATTACTCAGCCCCTTTGTGACACCACCAGTAGGTACTTAACTTTCGACAGCAACTCCCGAACTATTCCCGGAATTATAATGTTTGATATCCTAATATCTTTCCTTTCTTTCTTTCTTACAGCATCTTGCGACGTCTATAACACTTTTCCTTTAGATGAAATTGCATAAAGATCAGCGAGCCTGATTCTTCCAATTGCACTAATAGGATGAATCCCATAACCTGATATTCTTATTAGTGATTGCTCTCACTCTATTCTGACAACGAAGGAGTAAGAAAACGATGGCTTTCCCAAAGGTTCAATTCTGGAGATACTACTCATCACTTTCCTTTTTTGACACCTCTCCCAGTCTTTTAAGCTATCAGTATCGACAGTGATGATGAATGCGTACCAGTGTGTGGCTCTACTCTATTGGAACGGCCGTTTGATGGCCGTTATTCTTGGACGGTCATCCGGAAAGTTTGTTACGGAAAAGACCCAAGTTCGATATAAGAGATGACTGTCGCACACTTATTTCTTAGATTCACCCATTTTTTTTAACGCAATTTTGTTTCTATCTTTTTTGTACCAACTTTCTCCCTTTGCAATCATTCAAAGTTCAACCATCATGGTATCAACTGAAAAGGGCATCGCATACGCAGAAATTATTGCATATGCCATCGCCTTACCAATAGCTATCTTTGTGATCTTCTCACAGGGTTTCAAGAAGAAGCTTGGTTGGGTATACCTCGGGTTGTTTTCTGTCGTCAGGATTGCCGGCGCAATGTTTGAGCTTCGAAGTATACATAATCCTGCTAATACCAGTGATGCGAAATGGTCGATTATTCTGCAGTCTGTTGGGATATCGCCTTTGTTCATGGCTACATATGGTTTACTTTCTAGGACGTACGTTAGGGTCATTGAATGGTTTTTATAGCAATGTTTAAACTAACAAGCAATGACAGTACTGATATAATATCTGGTTATGCAAAAGCTGGAACACCCTTTGAGATGCAAATTGACGGATACTACAAGCCAAGTACTTCAACATCTAGATCTCTACGAAGTCGTTCTATTCAACTAATGCATATACCCACGATAATTGCTCTGGCTCTTTGTATTGTTGGCGGCACTCGAGAGTTTGACGGTACATCGTCCAAGATATCATCCGGTAGAAATCTTACCAAAATCGGAATCGCTATTTATGTAGGAGCGTACATTATCCAGATTTCCCTCGTTATTGTCACGTTTAAGGATTATCGCAAAATCCCCACTGGACATAGCCGAGTGTTCTGGGCCGTCGTTATCGCCAACCCCTTCTTGGCCGTCAGATTGTTTTACAGTGTTTTGGCGGCTTTCACTTCCATCAAATCCTTCTCTGTAATTGACGGCTCCGCGTTAGTAAGATTGTTCGTGGCAATTATTGAGGAATTTATGGTAGTCGCATTGTATTTGCTTGCGGGTTTAACGACACCAAGGTTAAATACATAAGATTGTATAGACTGTTGTTGACGGAAAATTGGCGGATCTGGATCTCTAATAAGTGTACTGCCAGATTCGCTTACAAAATCTTATACAGCGTATTTCTTCCGTTTCGCATAAAATTCTTATTTCTTTTCATTTTGACGATTTCGAAAAAGAGATGAGTGACAGCAATCGCTAATTGAATCATATCAATATCATAGGTTAGATTCAATAAAAGAACATCAAGTTTTGGATTTCACTTGGAGTAATATGCTGTTCGTATTCTTAACGAAAGTTAATCGTTCTCCAAATCACTGAGTAAATGAAGTTCACCATGTGAGAATGATACTACGTGTCTTTTGCCGTTTCACTGCTCATTTCGCCGTTCAATTGAGATCCAGCTAACTGATTTTGCTTGATGACTTTACATTATCTAATTTATGTGATCACTGAAGAAATCCTACACTCAAACTTGAGAACTATAAGATAAACATTCCGTCACCTCGATCATGTGGCGGAGTGCTCCGCCATTTAAGCGACGATTACCAAAAAGGGTAACCAGTAAGTAGCGTCATCGTAAAATTCCCACCGTGGTAACTCGGTAGTAATGATTAATTTATTACGCCTTTCATTCCTAATCAAGAGTTTATTTCGTAGCTGTCGCATCGAGTGATATCTACATGCGGAACTATAAAATCTGCTTAAATTAACCCAAATGTAGATGTTTCTACTTGTTACGGAAAGGTTTTCGCGTCTTCAATGGTCGACTTCTTTTTCTTCTTGTCTTGGCATTTATCACACTACGCTGCGATTCAATGCAATGAAATCTTGAATCGCACAACGACTTCCATTATAAAGCTTCTCTCTATATCCCTCTCGTCGTAAAGATGTACATCTTTTAAACACAGAAGCAAGTCTCACCTCTTCTTCTTTGTCTCTTTACCGGCACAAATCTTTTTTTTAATATTCCAACAGAAACCGGACAGTATGGGGAAACTCGCTGGACTCATTAGTTCAGGCATTGGTCTCGCAATGGAAGCAAAGACGACCTATCAATCTCCGAGTCTTAAATCCCACACGAAAGATGCAAATCGGGGTTCAACTTATATAGCTCCATCCCAAAGTTTGTCTATCTTCAAGGTTCCTATGTATCGATACTGACTTACAATAGTACCACTTCGCACCTTGCCAAAAGCAAATCGACATAGCAATGATGAAGACGCATACCAAGACTTGCAAGCCTACGCCGACTATCAAAGCACCCTTTCAGATCGCATAAGTGCAGACATAGAGAGAGATGAGAATTACAGAAAATATTTAACCATGAATCCTCGAGCACAACCAATGAGGAGTGCATACGAAAGAGATATTTCGTTCTACTCCCACGAACTGCCAGATCAAAGAATTCAGCCGGCTCGAGGGCTCTCTTGTCCTGTAATACTTCCACAACGAAGGCCCGAAGCACAAAGTCGTGGTATCATCCGAGCGTACTCCCTAGAGCTAGCAGGTTGTGGCATAGATCAAGATACGTTTCTGAATTTCATCGATGATTTTAATGAAGCTCATAAAGTAAGTTGGAACATGTGAATGTCATTCGTGAATACTTACTCATGTATAGGCATCTCCTTATCTCGACGCCGTGAATGTGGCCGCTCAAGGTGTCGGATTTGCACCCGGTATTTCGCCGATGATTGTGTCTATGGTTGTTCCAATTGCAGTACGAGCAGCTAAAGGGTATCAGACCCAAAGACAGTAAGCAGGCAGTCGAAGCACTTGGTGATGATAACAGCCAGTTGAGATTCTCCTTAGATCATCCTCTTTCTTGGACCGAGCCAATACAAATCTCTTCTTGCCGCACGGCCTCTTTGCAATGGTCTTAACTTTTAAGCCTGAACAGACTCAAAACCCACATGGAGTACCAGGAGAAGTTCAGCTTCCTCCATCTGCTTCCCTTATTTATCCCGAAGATGATAGGCGTGCTCAACAAACCGGCTTAAAGAAAATCGGCCACTTTATTGCGGATTATGGAGATCGTAGAGCCCAGGCTCGATACGTATGTGCGATTCATCTCTTTGATAGATAAAGACCTACTGACAAACGAAAAGGCGCACAATAATCCCGAGTCATCTTTGGCTAGTCCTTTACCAACATTCAACAGTCGTTGGGCTGATCCGAATAACCCTGCCAATAGTAATGGACTAAAAAGTCTACTTACTGGCATTCCAGACGATAAAAAGTCCCGCAGAGAAGACAAAAAGGATCGCAAAAGAGACAGAAGAGATCGTCGTCGCAGAGGTAGCTCAAGTAGTGATACTTCCAGAGGAGGTGGACTTCTAAGCACAGCACTTGGGGCGGTTGGCGATGCCGGTGGCAGGAACGGTCCCTCTGAAAGAGAAAGAACAAGTCTGGTAGGAACCGCGAGAGGGATGATAAATGGACCTGGAAAACAAGATCAAAGTTTAATCAAGGGAATCAGAGGCATAGGGATGAAGACTGATATCCTGTATCTGATGATCACAAATAATACCGAAGATCAGAGATCATTCCCTTCGACGAGATCACAAACGCCACTGACTCACGTTTCGTCATTTTCAACACTGGATCCTCAATGCACGAATCCACACAATTGGCTGAGATCGTCCAATAATGATCAAGACTCCGTCTATTACATCTCAAACCAAGATCGAATAGTTCCCTATACCAATCAAAAACAAAATGGCGATCCCTATATTGCCAGGCAAGATCAAGTCGCCACGGGGTCTACCGCTAGACACTTTGAACAAAACGACGCTCCACCGCCTGCATACAGAGAAGCAATGCCGGCAAGGTATTATGATCAGATGAGACAAAATGACGAGGAGTTCTGCGCACCTACTATATAGTCTCTCTGAGTTCATCTCAATTTTGGATCTAGGATGTTTTTATTTGGCTTGGAGTTTGTGGAAGTATAATTGCATTCGGCATCACTAGATGCTCACGTTTTGACTTCACCACATTATGATTTACCATAACCTTCCACATAACAGCCCCATTCAGTTTTCCGAAGCAAAATGTTATTTAAACCAAGGTGTCTAGTAGTCCACACTGAATGAATTGGATGTACCTAAAAACAAAGGGGAACTCAAGGAGGGTTCAAATTTCTAATAATTCCAATTTTTGAACTGCAGACATGAACTGTGTGTGGACTTCTGATGATCGTACTGTAGTCCAATTAGAACTCAAATCTAAAGAAACAGAAGTGTCTCATATCAATGGGACGAGTGGCGGAGACCAAGTAACACGTCGTATAAATATGTGGCAAGATGTGATTTAGAAAACTTCCCAAACGCGGGAAAATGAAAGAGATACCTGATAGTACGAACTCCATTCATCAACAAACTATACTATTTCAGTCATTGCTTTCGTATGTCTTCTCATTGGAGATACGGTGGCCAGCTAATAGTACAAGATGAATAATATTACCTGCGCACCGTTCGCTCATTAAGAAATAAGTACCCAAATACTGTTAGTACATGCTCAGAAGTTAGTTGCACTTGGAAAAACTGTGATTAAGTGGTACATATCTATTATGTGTGTGGATTTGTTGTTTATGTAAGAAGTTAGGAGTTGACATAGTTATCCTAGGACAGACGACCGTCGCGCACTCTACGCCTTATTGACTTGAATATTAACAATAGGCTTGAGTGACGCACGCACATGAATCATGAATAGAATAATTTACCACCGAAAGTTTCTATAGAAAATTTGAACGGGAAAGATCGGGGACAGTCCTTGAATGGTTATTCGACAAGCAAAAAGAAGAGAAGACGCGTGTATGAAAGTTTCCCAATGGTCGTGGACTTCTACTGCCAAAATCGAATGCATGAAAATGATACGCCGCTTCCAATTCTGGCAGTAGGTTGGTTCATGGATTCAAACCCCCATCAAAATTGTCACAAAAATTGTTGGCGTGGTCCGAATCAAGATGTCGTGGTACATGGGGCGGACAAGGCCGTTTAGGACTTAGACTCCGCAACCTCTAGTACATCTTTTTCAAGATCAAGCTCTTTCCACGGGCCCAATCCTAACTTCTTATCGTTCTCGGTCACCCTAACAGCACCACCCACCATATAATGCGGACCTAATGCAACCAATTCCATGTGCACGTTTGTAACTTCGCGGCCCTTGAATACAATGCGATAACTGTCAATTGTTTCCCCGTTCTCGAGAGAATTCAGATCATGTACCTCAGACGCAGTTGGACTTCGAGCATCGCAAATCTCCAAGTCTTTAAGCCATGACGCAAGCAAAGCTTCTCCAGTCATTTTGACATAGGTCTCTCGCAAACACCACATGGCATAGAACCGTCTGATCTTCGCATCGACGACCTTGTTACTATCAATCCTCAATTGTTCAGTCTTCCCCTCACTGTCTGTAATGACCAGATCCAATTGTCTGTTTCTCCATTGGCATCTAGAGAGCGCATCGTTGCCATATCCATGGAGCTTTTTACCGGGCGCAACTTCGTCGAGTCCAAGTGTTGAAAGCTTCATATGATTGACCTCCGAATCTGCGAACACTTCTCCGTGCATATCAATCCATTCAAATAACCCGCTCTTCTCTATATATTTATAGTCATGCGATATTCGTTCGTTGGCGCACACGATGTCCGTTCCCACATTTATTGTTCCATCGCCCCCAACCACAGCTATTAATGTTACAAGTCCGGCCTGATGACTTACATTGAATTCGATTCGAGGTTGATCTGCGACCGAAATATAACAAGGCTTTCCATTTGATTCACGCGAAATTGTAGTCTTCGACCAAGGTACATTGCAATATTTTGCAATAACAAGGTGCTTGAGGAGATGGGATGCTAAGCTCATTTTTGCATCTTTGACGTGATAATATTTAAGGACTGATTCTTGCTCGGATTCAGAGAGTAGAGCCAAAGCACGAGAAGCCTAACATCATCTGTCAATTCAGACAAGTAGAGCAGCTAGTAGACGTTATACACACAGCAGTCCTCAGTTCTGCAACCTCCTCTCTGGGCTTATCTTTGCGGTGAACAGGCCACAGGAGTCTTGTATCGAGCAGCCATTGTACAATGTATGGCTCTGAGCCCGAGGATGTCATTGCACTGAGATTTTGAGGCTTGTTGCAGGAACAATCTTGAAGGATTGAAGCCGGTGGAAGAATTATCGACGATTGATAAATCAGTTTGTTCACCAGTGGGATAAGAGGTTGATTATGTAAGCGAAATGACCGGTGAGCCTGGTGAACCACTTTTATCCTCACAACCAGGCAAAGCAGCTTTTTCTTTCTCTTCAAAGTTATTCATAGATTCTTACATCACCTTATGTTTCTCGCGCCGTCTATGTATATGCAGATGAATTTTGTCTATTAATAGTTATACATCGTTACATTATATCAACCTTCACATATCTCGCGAAGTCGATCGCAACTTCCTCAACATTATGACGCATAAGTGTGTGTGGCCAGTAAATTCATTAGAAGAAGATTGATTATATCTGACTAAACCTTATGATGTCAAGATCGCATTGGAACATTTCAAAGTTGTAGATGTTACCGGACCACGAACCTTTACTGGCTCAGATATCCAGCGGGCTCTTTCCTAATAAAGGCATCCGGAACCCACGACGAGTTCAAATTAGTATCTTAAACTTTGCAGATAATGTCCAAATCTCCATGATGAGATTATAGCATCTTGTTAGAGTCGCTCGAAACCATTTAGCGATTCTTTAAGTAGTTGCTGGTAGGTATCAACTGGTTCAATTACCATAATAAATATTTCCATCTTTGATTGATTATTTGCACCCCTACATTCTGTGGAGTATAATCTTTCACTCCAAAATGGCGAGCTAAAAAGTCCCTATACTTGGATCAGATGGAGAGCCACTATGTTTGGAGACCGTTCTGATTGTTATAGCAGGACCGGATTTGATAATGATTAGAATCGTCCGCGCCTTCATTTTCTCATACTTGTCCTTCATAGTTGATTACACGCTTTCTTAGTATTTGGTACTGCCCGTAACACTACGTGAAAGCTCAATCTTCCTCCTGGCGAGACCGTGAAAATACTTCCGGCGACTAGTAGCTTTAGTAAAAGTGTTATGATGGTAGCATTGGTGATAAGTACTATAGTTGTTGCTGGTGGTAGAAGTGAAGATATTCTCACAGCCCCCAGGGAGGTTTATGGCGATACCGCAAGACTCGAAATAGTCGTTTCAATCGGCGAACAATAAAGATATACACAGCAGATTTTTCCAGTTCCAAGTAACGGTAACAGCGCCAATTCAAATATCGACCTTTGCCGGAAGCAGCTACCAGATTGACTCATATTATAGCGCGGATGACCGCACTGAAACCTTTTGACAAAGTGGCATCTCTGGGTGGTATATTTGGCAACATTGAAGTCGGTTACATTTCACTCATGATGAAAATTCCGCAAACTTAGGAGAATTATGTATGACTAAGAAAAAGTGGTAAGATTGGTCGAAATGATTGAAAAGGGGAATCTAAAAATGGATAATGGTGCAGGTATAAAACAATTGGCAAGTAAAGATTGGATGAAATTAATGAAGAAACGAAGATAGCCAAGAATAAGATTGGATACAGAAAACAAGTGCTTTTAATTCCTTGAAACGACTCGCCACAATAACGGTGTGTTTCATCTACATGTCACGATAACCGTAAACGGACCCTAAAAGCACAAGAATCAAAACGGACAAAGTAGAACTCTTATATTTTTGGAAATTCCACGATCACTTGCCCAATTGAGATTGTTCTACCACCAAAAAGCTTCGCAGAAAACGTGTATGCAAGTATTTATGCAGCTTACTCCGCACGGCATGCTTATATTTTCAGCCCCCAAATAAAAGTTTACACGCGAGGCTGAGGCACAATTCGTAAAACCATGAGTTTACAAGGATAGAAAACTTCGATGGAGGTTGCGGTGTTCCATGATAGGAAATGAGCCATGTGCTAAACAGGGTAGTTATGGTTACGTTAGGCAAGCCATATTCCAGAAACCTTCTATATGCCACAGCTGCTGCAGACGTATCCAGTCACATTACCTCGTTGTCGTCATGAAAGTCAGATGGTACCTTGTTCTTTCTCGTCATTGTAACATCCAATGCAGGAACAAGAAAACTTCCCACATGGCTTTCATACAGGTGAATGTAAGCCAAGATATAAAACATCAATTGTGGGGGCCTACAATGGCTCTATGTACATCAGATTTCACCAAATGTTCTCATATATGATTTCTTCTATGCACAGAAGCTTCCCACCTGTGTATAGGACTATTTAAAACATCATACGAATGTCCATCGCGTCTTGACTTCCCTTAGAATTCTCGCTTTCCTCGAATTGCCACTTCGTGGTGCGGTGATGATATCAAGTGCATAGTGGTTTGTGTTATTCTCATTATATTCTATCGGAGTCTGTTGCTAACAGTTGATGTGATAGTTGATGCTATGGCGGCTTCCAGTAGATCATCATCGTATTACGATGATATGAGCAACGAGCTCTATTCTTCGAGTTTTGATGACTATCAAAATGATATCAATGAGTCTCTAGACTTTAATCATGTCTCATCTACGGACTTCTACCTCGGCCCTGAAATGTTATTGATTTCTCAGATGCTTGGAGAACAACCATATTCATCCCAGCATGAGTTTGTCGGTATCACATCAAATTACGAATCATTTCAACGTTTGCAACCTAGCTCTGGGTCAACCAGTACTGAAGCCGACGGCCAAGAGCAGTTTTTGCCCAGATCACTTGGTGGAATTTACGGACAAATGACCACAGAGTATCGTGAAGTCTCAGAAGAATCGCTAAATCAATACCCAATCGAAGAGAAGTATTGTGAAGATGATAACGGTGAAAATATAGAGTATTCCCGCAAGAAACGGAGACCTTCTCAAAATGAACAGGCACGAGCACCAAATACACCACAATCGAATGTGTTCAAGCTAGATTTAAGGACTCCATCAATTTCCTGGGCAGGATCGCAACCCATAGCATCACAAGAATCTTTGAGCTCGGTTTTCGAGGTCAATATGAGTCAGCAACCGAAGCGCAAAGCTCGGAGTGCCTTTACACCACAAGGGAAGAAGAAAGTGGAAGCGGTGAGAAGCGTTGGTGCTTGCATTCAATGCAAATTCAGAAAACGAACTGTAAGTTGGTCTAAACGCTGCGTTGGGTCTTTCAACTGACAAACGTAGTGCGGGACAAATGAGCCTTGTATGTTATGCACTCGACGTGCTAGTAGTTTGGAGTCTGCGGCATCTTTATGTACAAGAGAATCTCCATTTGTTGAACTCTCAATAAGTGAATGTGAGTATTCTACTTTCTTGAAAGGTCCAAGATACTGATCTCACAGTCTACTCTAGCAAACTACTCCCACTGATAACAGATTTCGATGTTGATTTCTCAAGCGTAGAAGGTCAACAGAAAACTATCAAGATTGACGGAAAAGGCCCTGCCTCTTTCCCTTTGTATCTCGATGTTATCGAGATACAATCGTCGTTCTTAGCTGAGAATTTACTAAAAGAAGTTCGTCGAATGACTAGGCTTAATACCAGAGTTCCGGATCAGTCAGATATCATAACTGTTCTCAATCAGAGACTCTTCTCATCTAAAGAGCTCGAAGAATGGGTCATGAATTACACTGATGGGAACAAAATTGACAACGTTAATTCCACCTCTTTTCTGTTCGGAGTTGTGTATGTTAAGGAAAAGCTGCCTCATGTAAGTTTGATAATCCAATTCAATGCATCGATTTATTCCACGTGTCACTAAATAAGAGAAGGCAGATCTAGTAGAGAATACAACCAAGCTCATAGCATTTAGCTACATGCTCTGCAAAGGATTGAGAATTACAACGCCTACAAGCCAGCAAGATGAGGCTGCTCGATATCCCGTACTACGAGCACAGCTCGAGACAAAACTCTTTAATCTTCTCCGCCACATCGAAAAGCTTGTTTACGATGAACTTCAACGTCTAGTCTTCAAAGCCTCTGGACAATTACCGAAGGACGCGGTTGTTCCTGTGGCACTAGTACTCTGGTTACTTACCCGATTGCAAAGTTTGAAAGCGAGCCATGTCATAAGTTTGAGTGAGCAGAACAGTTCTCGTGCGTGTCCTTTCATGATATGATTTTCAATATATTCTGCTTAAAGAGGTACTAATATTTCAAAGGATCCTCGGGAACGTCATCAACGGCTGCATCTCGTCAAAAACACGTTCTTAACCTCCTCATAAGCGTTTTCACCGCCCTGTTTAGATCGTCATTCCCATTACTCATGAATTTTGAAGACAAATGCAACAGAGACCTACTGGGGGGAAATGAGGATTTAATACAACTATCCAAGAAACTGAGGAGAGATCTGATAGCGTTTAAAAGAAGCGGCCATTTAAAAGCTTCGACTTGGAACCAAGGGTTCTTGGAAGAGCAAGTGGGTAGATTGAAAGACTTATTGACGGGGTAGGTCATGCGGGACTCGGGGAATAGATCCAGGGAAGACTTGTAAAGAACTGTAAGAGATTTGGGAGGTTGGGTTATATTTGGGGAGGCGTTTTCTTGTTCATTCGATGGATGGGCTTTTACAAGGTAATGAACGATTGACATCAAAAAGAATAAGATGATGACGTTACGACTGTACAAGTACTAGGGATATACGGCGCAGTTTAGAATTACGTGAGATACTTGGGATGATTTAGGACAATGATATTTGCTTTTCAGGCAACACCATTCAAGGATTGATGGTTGATGCAGCCACATTCGAAACCAAGAGTCATCCAGATCTCCTTTTTGTCATTCGCATTCGATTTGCTACGCGATGTTATAATCTAAAATTTCGAAGTGCACTTAGACTTACTGTCATACCCAAAACTAAGCAGAGAACTGATCGGATGTGAGCCTCTTAAGACGAATAAGCTTATACGGCCTAAGACCGACGATGCTTCCCGAATTAAAGAGGGCATCCGTCATATAGACCGGCAAAGTCCCTTACGATTATTTTATTCAGTCGCACAGTATTGATATTGACGATTGGTGAAGAAAGATAAATCGTTTTTTTTTTTTTTCAAACGCACAATGTGATATTTACGAGGGTTATTATTCACGGGTCATCATGCAGATCACGACAGACATGCCGAGGTTCAAAAAGAAGTCTCATTATATTGAATATTAGCACTTCGTTTGTTTCAGAAGAGCCATACCTATTCATCTTCTCGACCACACATTATATATTACTCAGCGCTGTTGATAAATCCATACAATGTCTAGTCCATTCACAACTGCAAAACGCCCCTCATCACCATCTGAAGACAGCGTACATGAGCCATTTGGCTGTCCAACTCCATATGCCGAGCCACTGTGGTTTTCCCGAAACGTGTCACCCCATTACACTAGTTCACATCGCAAACTTCGCGCTGCAGTGCGCAAATATGTCGATGAAGAAATCTTGCCGTATGCCTTCGATTGGGAATCGGCAGGCAAAGTACCAGATTCGGCACGTGCCGTCCCCGTGACTTTGTGATTCCACTAACGAATCTAGCAGGCATGGCGACGACATGCGGAATTAGGATATCTCGCTTTAAGCACGGGACTGTCGGATGTAAAACTACCGGGAGATATTAAGCCTGAGGAGTGGGACTCGTGGCACACTTTGATTATTACGGATGAGTTGTCGCGTGTCGTAAGATCGCGCTTCGGTTTCTGAGCTGTCTTCACACTGACGCGATTTAGGCATATACTGGTGTGCTATGGGGTCTTGGCGGAGGCAATGGAATTGGAGTACCCCCAATAGTCAATTTTGGGACGGAAGAACAAAAAGCTAAATTTCTACCTGGTGTTGCAAACGGCAGCATAAGATTTTGTCTTGGCATCACGGAACCTGATGCTGGATCTGACGTAGCAAATATCAAAACCACTGCTGTACGGAGCGGCGACCATTATATCGTCAATGGCTCAAAGAAATGGATCACAAACGCTATTTGGGCGGATTATGTCACCACGGCAGCTCGCACCGGAGGCTCAGGGGCAACTGGTATATCGCTTCTTATCATCCCGTTGAAAGCTGACGGAGTCTCTCGAAGGACAATGCATAATTCGGGAGTCGGAGCATCCGGCAGCACATTTATTACTTTTGATGATGTTAAAGTCCCCATTGAGAACCTTCTACACAAAGAAAATTGCGGATTTGAAGTCATCATGTCCAATTTCAATGCTGAGCGCAAAAGCATTGCCTCATCGGCCATTCGATTGAGTAGAGTATGTGCTGAAGATGCATGGAAACATGCTTGTACGCGTGAGACATTTGGAAAGAAATTGATTGAGAATCCGGTGATTCGAGCGAAATTCGTGAAGATGGGAAGAATGATCGAACCCGCGCAAGCATTTCTAGAGCAGTTGACTTGGTTGATTGAGTTGAGTAGGAAGAATGGCGCAGAATACGATGTGAGGATTGGAGGTATGACGGCTATGTTGAAAGTTGTAAGTACGAGGTGCCTCGAGAAATGTGTAAGGGAGGCTCAACAAATCATGGGTGGATTGGGCTATGCTCGAGGTGGGAAAGGTGGAAGGTAGGTTGGCTCAAATACGCAAGGGTAATAGCCTACTGATGGTGTCTATAGAATCGAGGCCATCTCAAGGGATGTGAGAGTTATGGCAGTTGGTGAGTACTGATTGTCTGGCCAGAACATCAGACTTGTTATTCCTTTTTGGGTGGTAATCATGCTAATACTCGCAGGGGGTGGGAGTGAGGAAATTATGAGCGAGCTCGCGATCAAAGAAGAAGTTAAAGATCTGAAGAGATACTCAAGCACTTTTAGCAAACTTTGAACCCTTCTCAAGATCGTAAAAAGAAAGAATGCATATTTGAATAAACTAGACTACACTATCTATTGTTTTGACAACCCCAGGTGAAGGAACATTAGTCTTCTAAATACTATTTGGAATTTAAACGACAATATTCCATCGATTTCGGTCTTAGCTGACACTCACGCGAATGTTCGTATTTTGGTGAATAGATTGCATTGGATATTTCGTTGGAATAGGCCTAGATTCTCAAGCAATGTCGATTCTTTCCAATATTCGCTTAGACTCTTTACGATAGTATGAGGAGAGGCGTTCTTGAGGTTTGATAGTCTAGAGCTACAAAAAGCTCATAGTCTCGGATCAAGTTGACTTGCATTAGTATTACATAAGAGTACGAACATATATGTAAGTACTTGCACAGCGGTGATCTTTATCTCACTATTATGTCGAGCACAATCGGTTGCCAAAAAAACCTTATTTGTCTCAGATCCATATTCAAATACCCTGAGAAAAAGATCGTCGTCGAGTTGTGTCACTTTTGAGGCTGTTTCTGCTAGATAGCCACGAGCTGTGGTGAGGAGTGATTGAAAGTTCGCGGCTGAGAAATAATTGAGCGCGCCTGTGTTGTTTTCAGTAGATGTAGCGGACACGCCTTTACATACACTTTCGAGTACTTTCAAAGAGCATACATTGTTGATTAAAAATTGGACAATTTTTAAAACATCCTTATCTCGGAAATTGAAGCAAATTTCATCTGGCTATTAAGGTTCTATACAAATTGATGAAAACAATTGGCCTTGAGCCCCTTCAAATACTTTTACGAACCCTATCATAAACACCAAAAGCTTACAGGATCTTTTGGAGCTGATGTACATCATACTAATTCAGTCTGAGAATCAAAAGCCGTCCCTTAACTCGATCGTACTAATCACAAATTGGTATCTTTCCCATATCCAAACAATATCATTCCAAAGCAGTAACTATCCAATTGCTCGTCTAGACATGTTGCTTACCGCTAGTCGCACTCATCCCATCTTCATATGTAACTGTAACCTCACGGTGGCGCTGAATTCCACCTTCTTTCAAATCATCTGCTGTTGGTGGTGCGAGAATGCAAGTATCGCTATCAGTGTCATTGTCTATGCCTCCTCGAGTTACTTCAACGTCGTAATGAGTTGCCTCCTTGTTGCCACGTTTCAAAGATTTCAGATTATATTCGCCAGCGCCGGCGCCAGCGCCAGACTTCTGGTTGTCTAAATCGTAGTTTTGATAAGGTCCGCCTGTTGAACTGCCTCCTGTAATCCGGTTGTAGAGGGGTCGAAGGGCAGGAATAGTGACGCAGATAACAGTGGCACAAAGCTCGGACATGGTCCACATGACGGAATCACTAACGGCATCTGCAGAGGCAATTAGCATCGATAAATAGAGTTCGTCTAGATTTGAATGTGGAAGAAGATACTCACAAAGATAGTCATCAGTCTCCATAAGAGCATCCAAGGTTGTAGTGCGGACTACACCACATACACCAGCACTAATTGAAGGTTAATACAAATGTCGCGAGGAAACTTTGACCAAAACTCACATAATACCCAAACTCAAAGAAACACAAATGGTGATCTTTTCTTTTTGCTTCATATTGAGACCCCAGATGACGACCCAAGGAAATCCCGCAAGGAAGAAGTCCATTGCTGCAGACCAAGCTTGCAGGAAGTGTTAGCTTTTCTACTGATATGATTACTGTTGACGAAAAAACCTACAGCACATAACTTTTGCAATGACAGTCAGACTCAGCGTACAGGTACCCTTAACTGTAGGATCCCAGATAGACTGAACTGGAGTACATTGCGCAAACACAGCGATTGCTAGCAGGAAACTCAATACCAGGATAGTCAGGATCCAAAAGTAGAGCAATATTTTATGCCTGATGCTCAGTCAGTCCTCGTCCTGTGTTGATTCATCGTAAACGAGTGCAACTCACCAAGTTTGGTTGACAATCCGTAGTAAAAATACCGCTACAGCGCACTTGCTTATTCCCATAGCAACTGCGATGATGAACTGGCCTATTAGAAGCCATAATATGCCATGAGAATTATCCGTAAGAGTCAATGCTGACGCGTGTGTTCCCATGCCATATGATACTGAGCGTGAAATGCATGCCGCGAAAGCTGTCATTAAAGCCTAGACGAAATCATTAGGTCTGCAATATAGAAGTCCTGTATCCTGTAGCTTACCCAGCTAAGTATCAAAAGATAATCATCTACACCTGGCGCGCCACCAATGAATTTGCGCGTATACAACCGGAGACTGATAAAGCAAAACGAAAGGACGACTTCCATCCACAGGACGCCGAGCAATTGCTGGCCCTTCTCTGTGAGCGGAACTGTCATTCTGAAGATCAAGAGTTCTTTGGTTGTACTTTGGTAGGTTGCTATGCACAGAGTCGTTTCTTCACCGTTTGGGACCCACCACTATTAGTAAAGAAAAGAGGACGTACTTGATGGTCTTAGGAGAATTATAACGGCTCCTGTGTATATATGATGCCATGCCCAAGACAAGCTGGGATGGCTCAAGCCAGCATTGAATTTACTTTTTCAGACGTTACAGCCCCTGGGAGATTACCTTTGCAGCAAAAGCAACCTGCAACTATCATCACCAAAAAGAGTAACTGTGAATTCTAGCGGACTTGCTTCAGTAACTTTCAAAACTACAGTACTTGGTCAAGTACTCCGGGGAAAATGGACACAGGATTTGTGAGAATGTCATGAGCGACATCCCGTAATTGCTCTATCAAAGTGGGATAATATTGAAGATCTTCTATCATCTGTGAAACTCTTCTTGATGTTGCATGATGTGACTGCATGGAGTTGCAGCATACATATTAAGAAAACAGCCCAGGAGTCGAGGAGTATGATTGAGATCGTCGAACATTTCGTGTGTTTTATTCAATCCATCTATTGGGCAAACTTTAAGAAACGAGTTATATCCTGAACTAGACAACAAGAAGACCCACTGCAAAATATCCACTCAATGACTAGGCATGGTATCTGGCGGCCTAAGACTATATTGGGATGGGGATTAAGCTTGTTAAATCATTTGCACGTATCGACTTGCTTTTTTTTTACAATCGAGATGATGCCGCGGCCTCGCTTGGAAGACCCTATTCGTGGGCCATTGTGACTGGGATAGAGATCTGCGGATCTTCAACAACAAAACGCCTGTGACTGAATCAGAAATGCGACTAGTGAAGCTTAGGAGCTGCAATAACATACATAATTATGGTGAAATTAGCGTGGGTTTTCTGCTCTAATCTTTTCCACTATTGACGTTCGAAATGAAATGTTTTGTTTCCTTTAACATCGGTGAAGAATAGACTTTGAGATGAAAAGAAGTAAAATTTTCATAATTCAGGTCGTACGTCGTGCAGATGCGTTGCTCGGATAATCATTGATACAGGCAGGGGGAGTTGAGCCTGGAAGTGGGCCGCGGCAGCTCGGTCGGCCCCACGTGCCCGCCTCCCTGTCGGTAGTACAAAGTCATGTGGAGACTAGTGAGGAAAATGGAATAACTTGGCAGCGGGCACTAGAATTATGATTCGACATTGACAGAAATTTTCATCCTGGATCCTAGTAGGCCCCGGATTTGCAGAATCCAGATAGATGGCCCACGAGGCCAGAACCATTTGATACTCATATCTCTCCTTTCAACATGTAAACAGATAGCTACCTACGTAAGGACGATCAGTGCCTTTTTGTTGAAAATCAAAGAGTCCTCACCTCGCCTACTCTTTGGAAATGATAACATTGAGTCTGGATATCCATATTTCTGTAACGGCGAAAGGTGGATCAGATTTACAACTAAATTTTTAAAGTTTGATAAAAGCTTTTAATATAGGGCGTGTTGGTGCGTTTGAAGCTTAGAAGCTGCGTTACCTTGGTACTCGAAGAAAACTTTGAAAAGAGGAAATGACGCCCGCACTGTCTGCAAAACAATTGCACAAATTTTATAGATCACATCAAAGAAAACTCGAAGCCGCAAGAGGAACGCAAGTTATCAATGTTTATATAATTAATACTAAGTCATTAAAATTGTTTTCATTATTTTTGTGTCCGTCAAAAAATTCATGCTCTAGGCGTTGAAATTGGTCAAGTCCGCACCAAGAGCATTCCTCAAATATTATGAGGTTTACCGAAGCTTTATGCTGCAGATTCTTTCCTTGAGGGGTCTGATGTTGTCGATTCAGTCTCGTTGTACAGAGCATCCTTGAGCTCTAACTCGACCTTTTCACCAAATGTAACATTGATCTCCTCTAATGTCAAACCCATTGTCTGTAAAAGTCATTAGTAAAGGGAACATGTAAAGTAGCCGATGGAATTATTACCTCTGGGAACCAGATGACAATCATAATGGTAGTGACAACAGTCACGCAAATGAGAATCATATAGAACTTCCATCCGATGTTGTTCAAGCCAACAGAGACAGGAGCACTATACGCGATGGCATTTCCGAAGAAACTGAGATATGTGATGGTGGATCCTTCACTACGGAGATGGGTTGGCCAGATTTCAGAGCCGTAAACGTAAGAAGTACATTCGATCGTCGAAGTGAAGAAGGCACCCATGATGAAATAGAGAGCAACAAGCGCTCTGACACCAGGGCCTGCAGGTGTACCGAGATAGTACTTGACCAATGCAGCCATTGTGCTAAGAATAGCAGCCATTCCGAAACCACCAATAACTAAATGAGGTTAGCAAGGACCATTGAGAAGTTTGAGCTAACTCACTCAAAAGCTTTCGTCTTCCAATGCGGTCCAAAAGAACAACGTTGATACCGCATCCAATAACAGCGCAAACAGACCAGACAATACCAAGCCCTAATTGAACAACAGTACCAAACCCGAGACCTGCCATAAATGTGGGGATGAGATTTGCGATTGCAGTGATACCAGTTCCTTGACCCATAGTCCAGAGAATGATCGAAATAAAGGCGCGTTTTCTGAGATGCGGGGTAGAGAAGATATAGATGAA